GAAGGAGTTATTTGAGGCCGAAATTTGAGGCCGAGGCGAAGATTGAACTTTAAGATACTGTGGAGCCGTGCGCAGTGTACATCGACGTTAGAGCTCATCTTCTGTCAACAACACTACCGGGGCCACCCATCGACGGTGCGTGCAGTGGCGCTGGTAGTGTTTGATATGAAGGGGCGAAAAAAGAATGGCTATAAAAGAATGAGAAAGGTAAATAAAAAGGGTTACGACCAACATACCGACACACATAAAGTAGGGGTCAGGAAGTGCCGTAGAAAATGTTCGGAAGAAGGGGGGGGGGGGGGGGGGGGGATAATGGGAGCGAATAAGGGGGATATTCCCTCCCCCGAATTTTTTAATATACCTTTTTGAAATCGCCCCCCCCCCCCCTTACTCATTTATGCCCCCGCTTTCGACGCCACTGAGGACCTGGGGGGGGGGGGGGGGGGGGAATCGCCCCGCTCCCCGTCCCCCTGTTTCGACGCCCCTGCTTAGAGAAGTTCCAACTGAGCGACAACGAGGAACAGAACAGAGCGCAATTTGCGAAATAATGGTTCTAGAGGTACTAGAATTTAGGCGGTTCGCGTTCCATAAACCCACGGACGGGCGACGGCCATGATAGACTTTCAAGCGAGATGCTCGTGCCATGGATCGTAGTGTGCAGGCGCGATCCGTGACGTTCATTTATAGTTTCTGCTCTTGACGTCAGGAAGAAGATGATCAGTTCTGAACGACAATTTCGACGGTGTTGATTTTAAAATGCAATTATCCCAAGCCTCCACCGTAAATTTTACAGGCCATAAAATATGTTGATTGCAGCCGGAAATCTTTGTCGTAATATCACACGTATAACCCACGGTCACCTCCGCGCGCTCTCTCGAGCTCCTCTTGTTCGGCGCTCAGGAAGTGGTAGAGATTTTTCGCTCCTTCGATGAAAAACGTCGCGAAGATAAACGGATCTGCGGGTTTGTGAGAAAACAACAACAACAACAACAACAACTTCGCTGCTCTCTTTCGGCTCCTCCCCCACTATATCATAACCGAAAGAATCTTTGTGTTTCACGAGTTTATGGGGTATCCACACGAAGGATAAATCCGCTCCTTTCCTCCGCGGAGCGCGCATCACGTGAGACATACGTCATCCCTTTTTGACGCCTCGCGGCGCCGTTCTCCCGTTCTCCTCCGATGGAGTTTCCCGGGATGTTGACGTCACGACATCCGTCCGCGGAGTTCTCGTTCGTGTGGATACCCCTTTAACCACAGTTTGTGCAATAAATAACCACAAAATACACACACGCACACCTAAGTTATACGGTAATTAAAGTAACATTTAGAAAATGAACACTGTAGCCAGAAACAACAAAGAACGTTGAAATGTGCAGAATAGTAATGTCTTGCAAAAATCTGCACCGTGTATTTCTTTTTAGGAATTGTGCTGAGATTTATTTTCTGTTTTCAATGTGATTTAAAACTTGAGAAACTAAATGTCGAAACATTTGCTGCCTGTATAGTTAGATCTGTACGTGAGAACCCTTCTTTATTCATTGTGGCGAGTAAAAAAGACTATTAAGTTCTAACGCTTCTAATTTGGTTAAAATTTGGTTACATAATAGATGATCATATAGCGCATGCATTGTTAAAAAAGCTAAATTATTAAATATGATATCGGTATGTGAATCGTAAGGAGCATTACAGATCGCTCTCACCATTTCTCTTAAGCAAGTAAATTGTATTAAGATTGATTCTACTTGGATCATTTGCATTACACAGTGCGCCTACAGCACAAAATACTACTCTATGAGCGTGACAGATCGCGACCGCATGCGCGTCGTGCAGCTCACGTTGTCGCGCTTTCGTGCTGCACCGAGGGAGAGGGCCGCCATTGACTAACATCATTTATAGACCTTTAAAAAAAACAAAAAAAAAAAACAACCTCTGGCCGCCGCCATTTTGCGAATCGAGCGACCCCTTTCAGCCAGAAATTTCTGCCACCCGCCTGAGCTGTGGAAACTCGGTCAGCGTGACTCCCCGCCTGCATTGTGCATTCGGAGTTCGCCGGCTCGTCTTGGAAGTTTTACTTTATTTGCCTGTTTAGGATGCTTATGGCGCTGGAAAGGTCTATAGACCACTGTCTACGCTGTTCCATGGGTGCCGTCATGTCTGTTTATGCAGACGCCATGACACAGTGGGGGGGGGCAGTGTTTCTTTGCAAGACTCTGTTTTTTTTTATATAAACTTACGCACATATCACAATGCAAGAACGTGAGAAATGCATTGTCACGACGCTCCAAGAACAACACCGATGCCAAGAGTGCCGTAAACAGCAAAAATCTTGTTTTATGCGCAGTCCCTCTCTTCACAAGAGCCTGCGTTTGAGATTATCATTTCTCATTTTTGTCGCTGGGGGCTAGGACTTCGGACACTGGTCGTGACGTCATCACTGCAAGCGATCGAGTCGGGCCAGGCGCCTAAGGATAGCGCCGATGTTAAAGCATCGTGCGGAAATATGTTGTCGTAAAAAAACAGGTTTTTATTGATACAAATGTGTTTTGTTATCTAGAAAGTCGTTTATAAATTAAACACGGGCAAGGAGAGAAATTTTGTTGCACTGCGAGTGATCGGGAGCCGTGGAACACCGCTCACATGTAAGCATTGCGAGCGGACTTACATTCGTAGCTACGAGCTTTTATTAACGCAGTCGTGTTTGATTTAAAAAATAAAAAATAAAAACCACAGGTGAGCTGGTAGATGACATTCATAGTAAAGCCTAGGCAGATGAAAAATAATAATAAAACAATGAACTGACAGAAGAAGAGCGACCTCGTTGTTCTGTCCGTTTTTTTATTCCCCAGTATCGGGTTTACACTGTACATGTTCTATTACCTATAATGATAGCTATACACAGGAATTAACCTACGAAAGTATACACAGACAAATTATTAGGGCATAAAACTTAAAGCGCAGTGTGAGAACAGTATGTGTACAACAATGCCCTGGGAAAGACAGGTTTGCCTCTAAGCAAACTCCTTTAGTGGAGTAAATATCGGTCGGAAAGACGGATATTTTATAGACAATAATTTTAATGAAACGGCATGCCACCAAGTGATGCGACGTGACAAAACAGCTCATAGTAACAATGTAATGCATATAAAAACAAACGCTCACGGAAAGTATTGGCAACAAAAGTAGTAAAGTGATATTGAGAAATTTCGTCTTGCTGCCCGGATAAAACAACATAATAGTTACTTTATCGGAGGTTACATAATGACGGCGAATGAAAGTAGTAAAACATTCATTTTGAAGGAGTTGCTATCTGCCTCAATCTTCCATGTTTAGTTTTTAAGTAATCAGTCAATTGAATTATCCAAAGTCGTCGCGGCTTTAAATACTACTCAGAGAAATATAAACACTTATCTATCGCCCGACACCCTATTTTGTTTTCAGTACAGTGGCTATCTTGCATTTCCTTAGCTAGACACTCAACCGAGAGGCGGGCGTCTTGATGAGGACAGAAATACAGACACGTGATTCCACCCCCAAGCCTACGCTCTTAATTGCGCTATTCCGTTCACGCAGTGTGCCATACGACAAGCAAATGGCATGAAAAGTTCTCACCTCTTAAAGATATCTATGCAATCATTGCGGGCATTATCACCTCAGACAACGACCGACTGATTCCTCAAGTCTCTCGAGACACAGGGGCCGTAGCATCGTACCAGCGTGCCGTCGTGTATCACTACTGCGTGGTGCACGCTAAAGACCCAAGGCTAGCCGTTGTACCGCACTGGCCATCTACAGCTGAGAGACAAGTCGCCCGTTGAGGCTGACTGGCTTCCGGTATGTTTAAACAAACACATGACGCAGTGCGGAGAGGAACTGGGGGAGAAAAGGAGACGAGAGCATGAAAGGACGTAAAGAAAACACCGAGCTCTGTTTGGAATGATTGCTGGGTAGAAGCAAAGCTAACTGCCTTTGTCTCTACTCTGCGTTCAAACGCGTTTGAAAGCGAACGCTAAACGTTAGACACCCGTTTTTGCTTACGAATTCTTTCGAACAGTGGAGTGGAGACGAAGGCAGCTAGATTGGCGTCTACCTACTAATCATTCCAACCAGAGTGCGGTGTTCTTGCGTTCCCGCACGCGCTCGTCTCCTCCTCACCCTCATGAGCTTTCACGGTTAGTTCATGGTCAGGGGGGATGAGGTATAGACAATAGACAGATCTCACTAAGCGCTCGGCGCATGCGTGACGTCGCCATAAGTTTAGTTTACAATAGGCAGGCGGCGGTGCATGCGAGGACTCGTGCCGTCGCGTGTTTCACACGCGCAAAGCCCCAGCGGTGTTGTCGCAAGTGCAGAAAGACTAATGCTCCCTTGTAGCATTGCGGCAGCGGTGGCGTAGTCAAACTGGCTGGTGAGATCGGTTTATGGCAAGCATTGCGCTCCGACTGGTGCCTCATGACCACCGTGCTCATGACGTAGCCCCCTGAATACTGGCAAAGCCTGGCGGATCGCCACGAAAAGCGGCCGCCGAAATGGAAAAGGTGAAGCGGCAGACAACGGATGAGCAGAGAGCCACGTGACTGGCGCCCCGCTGCGGCGAGACACGGAAACAGAGTTCTCTCGAGCGAACAAGTGTGTTTCGGGTCCTCGCCACTGCAAAAGCTGTGCGCTGACGTCCAGGTTCCCCAAGAAATGGCTTTTTGATGCTCTGTGCTACCAGATCCTCGCGATTCAAATCCGTGACCGGGCGTTCTATGGATCTTTCGTTCAACTGCCAGGCTTTGTGAGAATAGAGGAGGCTATGCTCATGCGTGCAAGCACGTGCAGATATGCTCGTGAGCCTAGCTTTGGCAGACTCGCAATTACACGTTCTTGCCAGCACAAGCAAAGGCGTTGCGGTGGCCAGACACTTTGCTTGCAGTCTTCTATACATTTGCCGCCGTTTAAGTTTACACACTTGAGATTGTTAAAGAGCAGAGGGCAACTCGCGCGTGGACACTCACCGGTGGGCCTGGGCGGCCGCAGCGCGTGTCCCACCAGAGGGGCGGCCCGAGTCGTCGGCGGGGTGGCGGGGACAGCCATGGTCGTGGCCAAGGGTGCGGGCGCCGTCGTGTTCCTGGTCCACGTGGCGTTGACTCCCGGCCGCATGTCCCCGCCCGGTTCCTAGGGCCTCGCAGCCGCCATCTGGGCATAATGGCCGCCGCGCCCGCCAGGCACCGCTCGAGCCAGCTGTCTGCTGCCCGACGGCGGCCGACTCAGCGCGGCCCACGAAATCGCGATGGTGTCGACGTCACTCTCGCTGGGCACAGCGCTCGCTACTCGGCGTCCTTCGCACCACACAGTATACTGAGAACTCACACCCACGTTGTGGAGACGAGCAGACCTCTGGGTCGCCTCGAAGTCGGTAGAGATGAATCACCTTTTGCACAACATACACTTGGCACTTCACGTGTATCCTTACGGACGTGACAAATCCCACGTTGATGTTCGGGTTCACTGTTCACCGTTGTCTGTGCAAGCTTTACATCCGGTACAGAGGAAGAACCACGGGATTGATTGAAGCAGATGATCTAAAACAAAGAACTGGCTGTGTCGGAAAGTTGGAAGTTTGAAAATACTGCTCCGCAGTCTTGCGAAAGTCGCTGTGCGGCTCCAACGCGAGCTTTCTCACGGAAGCATATAGTACGGAGAACCTATGTCTCCCAACTACTCCTAGTTTGAATGGCTTCCAGGTTCTTAACACGTTGGTTCCGACGTCTTGAGCTGGACTAGATAAGAGAAGGTGGCGATCTCCGGTATTTTCTGGGTTTTAGAAGACACTTTACTCTTTCTTCAGAGGTGTTTACGAATCCTGGCGGTGGAAGTTTATCTTCTTTCGAAATGTTTAGGGGGTCGGGAGGATGGCAAACAAATGCGCCTCACTTTTAACATAAGACAACGAAAAGCGGCTGACTGTCTTTTTTGATGTCCTCTCAAAGTTACGTGATGGCCAACTTGACCCTAAATCTACGAGTTTGGGAAGCGATTTTTCAAACCCAGCCTAGGAGGCTTAGCGGAACTTTCTTAACGTGGAACTTATATTATTTGTTTTGTTGGTTTCGAATATTATATTTTACTCCTATTTTTCTTTACCGGTAAGGTTATCGCACAAAGGGTACACACTTTTCTGTAATAAACTTCCGACTTGAGCCGTTGGGACAGATGGAAGTGGCTTAGAGAAAGTACTTTGAAATACCGGTAAAGAAGAGGAGTTTTTCCGCTCGTTATTGCCTTAAAAATGGGCGTCTGCTGGACGCTCAGAAGACAGTCTTCAGTCCGAGCGGTCCAAGTCCAAGCTTAACGTCGTTGCTCTGAACAGCTTAGCGTGACGTAACAAGACATGATCGACGTTGGGGATGCCAGATGACGATGATGGTTTTCAGATGACTGTATCGCTGAATGGCGGCTTGACAACGACTTCACTAAAATTTATTTCTTCCATGGTGATTGGTGGGATCCCACTGAAAAATACAAAAAACAACAAAAATAATTAGTTACCTATCAAGTTATGCATTTGCTTAATGGCTTAGTCACCCCAGCCCTCTACCCCCTCCCCCCCCCCCCCCCCCACACACACACACAAAGCTATCTTTGACAGCCTTTTTAGGGTCATTCCAACATCATGTAAGAACACAAACAAATTGAATCGAATTAAGTAAAGTCGTATATTTCGAAGTCTTGAACACGTGTATGTTAACTGTGTGCAGTGACACTCGGTTTTAAACGCGCCGGCAGGCTTTTCCGAATATTTATTACTTGATGCAACCAAAAGCGAACCTGTAGTTAAAATTTTATTTCAGAAATTAAAAGTTTAACACAACAAAACACTTTCTATCACTATAAATTATAGAGTGCAGCAAATAGTCAAAATACTTTCGTCTAAACTTGTCGCGGGGACCAAATAGAACTACGCGTACAGCTCAATTTATTGCGTTGGTTGTCAAATTAAGTTTCGCGGCAACCGGCTTGGGAAAAAAACGCTTAATTGCTCTATTTGCCTTCTCAAAAGGTTGCTACAAAATTACACAAAAAAATGAAAGCCACTTACAATTCGCTGTAACGCCGAATTAGAGCGCAGCTTTTGAGGAAGAGGAAGGGAACTAAAATTACCGCTCCCGAACGAAACTTTAGGAATTCCATCCTCGTTAGCCTTGAAAGTTTCTATACACCATGGAAAGATCCATTAGAGATCGGGTGCTCGTAAACGCAAACACACGTGCAGCAAGCGGCGATGTCCTCCTCCGCAAAGGCAAAAATACCTTTCCACATTTCCGCACAAGCTTCGTTCGTATAACTATGTTTGCATCAGAAACGCGCAACATAAACTTCCGTTGCCTATTCTTGTTTTTCCCCGCTCGCGTCAGCTGTAACTTGATGAAGTATTCCACCTTGTTTTGTGTTTAACGGTACGTTAAAGATGGCAGAAAATTGACAGAGTCGCTTTTGGTCGCTTCAGTATATTCCGATGATATTTTTTTGTATTTTACGAGTGCGCAGACAGCACAGCCATACTGCGTTTTACTTGAAGTCCGACCGTGCAGTCGACGCTACGACCTGATTGAGTTAAACAAGCAGAGCCCAAAGTGCATTTTCACCGTGCTCGTTCGTGTTAGTCAGTTTTATTTCGTTGACTAAACCAATCACGCATAATGAATGCGCCATGATTGCGCTTTTTTATTTATGCGTTAATTGGTTTTAGCCGGCGCCAGCAAACCCGCAAGGGAATTCAGGAGCGCCGTGGCGATTCATTTTGGGCGTTGCCATGAAATCGTAGCTTCGGCTGCAGTTAGAATTAATATGAGAAACGCGGAGTAAAAAACAACTCGACTCTCCGATGTTACGACGCAGCGGTGGCGCTCCTGTCGACATTGCGCATGCGCAGATACTTCGCCCCAAACAAATCTGGTTTCTGCGCGCGCGCCCGCAGCGCCCCACACCCGGTTGTGGGGAAGACGCTGGCTTGTTTGTAATCGGTGTGTTGGTGCTGTATAGTGCGGCAGCTGCGATATGCGTCGTGCCAAAGTGAACGGTTAGACTGTAAGTTACAGCGTCGTGCCAAAGTGAATGGTAAGTTAGACCTCAGGAAGGTAGGGCGAGGCAAAGGAAGGCTGGGGAGGGAGAAGCCGACGAAACGCTGGAAAGGATAGGGGGAAACCTCCTTATTTCTACAGCGTTCTTTCTGCTTCCTCATCTCCGGCCTTTCTTTTCCTCGCCCTATCTTCTTGAGTTGCAGACGGACTATAGTGGTGTAATCACAGCTAGAACACAAACAAATCATCTGGCTTGAACATTCCGTCAAAACCAATAAAAATGCAAAAAAAAACTTGATATTTTCCCTTTTTTTTTTTTTTAGCGAGCAACATTTGGTATTGGAATAACATGAAATGTGACAAGGGGCGAAGCAATTTTCAATGTAAAAAATACTTCTGCTCCTTATCCATGCACCTTTTCTTTTTAGGCGCATTGCATCATTTTCTCTGAAATGCCACGCACAGAATCTGACCCTGAAATGCCTTGGCCCCTACTATATTATACTACTAATACGCAGTTCCTATTCTACTACGTAGCCCCTGTTCCTATGCAGCGGGGGGGGGGGGGGGGGAGGTGGGGGGGAGGAGAGTTAGCGTTCATCTAGGACTATCCTCCCCTCCCCCCAACGCCCAACCACCTCCCTCCAGTCTTTACACGGCGCTACGCCATTGCTCGCGTTCGCATACTGTTTGATCTTCGTAAACGTTCCGCAGGCGTTAATGAACGTCAATAAGTGCAATATTTTCCGCACGCGAAATTTCAATTACACACTTTTGCTTCCTACGTACACCAATATCAGGCGTCATTTTGTCAGACTGCCCCTGTGCTGCCATCTGACGCACAAGAACCAAAATTTACCGAATATTGGCGAGAAGGATCAACCATCATACCACCCACGTTCGCCCATGGAGTCTTGGGCGAAGGCAATGAAATTGAAGTCATTAATGTCCAAGCGGCCCTCGTGCGTAAACATTCGTGCATTTAAAACCGGGCTGACACTGCTCCCACATCGTCCTATAAAAGGCTGCCTGCAGAACACGAGTCACCACAATATCCGTGTTTCGAATGCCGCTCGCGTGCCCGAGTTTCCTCCTCGTGCTTCGAATGCCACGAGGCATTCTAAGCATGCATGTAAGAAGCGAACATGCTTCGAAGACGCTTGAGGCCTCTCGGCAGATGCTGCTTTCATCGTGTTATACAGCGAACTCCGTGTCTCTTCTACATACGATGCAGGAGTAGTACGACTGCGAATTCGGCACTAATTCCCTCCGCGAAAGAGACTGGAGGTTTAAAACAAGATCACTCTGATCTTTTCTTTTTTCGCCAAACGGACTTTTAAAGCGAACAATAAAAATAACTTTCTCGAGGGTTTCGAACAAAGGTTAGTATGACGTCAAAGCGACGTCATGAACGCGGCTCAATCTTGTTAGCGTCCCTGGCGGCGCAGAGCTGAGTGAGAATAGAATCGGAAAGCAGCGGTGTGTTTGCCTTCCGCGGCCGCCGAGAGTTCGCTCATTAAAAATGCTCGGTCGAAAGAAGAGGGGAAAATACGCGGTCGCGCACCGAGAGAGAATTACGGCCAAAGTTAAAACGTAAAAGTTCTCTCGAGTAAAGGTTAAGATAACGCTGTTAGAGTATTCAAGAAGAGAAAGAAAAGATGGTTAAATTGGGAGTGAAATTAACTCAAGACGTTGCGCGTTTCTTGATTCTGAATTTTTTTTTCTTCTTACGGCTCAACTTGCGTTCTTAAGCAAACTGCTCTAAGGGCCCGGAACTGCTTGGAAAGGGGCCTATGCAAACCGTCACAAAGTAAAGTTTTACCGCGTGCCTTGAATGCCGATCTACTTGGTTTTGATACTTTGTTTTGAACAAAATACACTGACAGGCACAAATTTGGAAAGGCAGCTTTGCCCCCCCCCCTTCCTTACACTTCAAAACCAGAAGAAAGCAATTTTATTTTTTACTGTAGTTAAAAAAAAAAAAAAAAAAAAAACAATCAAGCACTTCTGCATGTAGGCAAAGCCTACTTAGGGAACTGTTGAACATTATTTTAAAGAACATCGTGCAGAAACGAAATCCTTCACAAAATAACTTATAAATATATTTTAGGCTACTTAAAGTACGAGGAGTTTTCCTGCCACGTGTACGCGCTTAGTGAATGAACGGCGGTCAAGGATAAAAAGAGAAAGCCTTATGCGCTATTTTTGGATACATATATTTAATTTTAAAATTGTGTATTTCGCGTTTTTCTATCTTGGTATTTGTATAAACCCTGAGTGCATTATTATAGTATACATGAGTGTACCATAAGAATTAAGATGACAATTTTTTCTTCATTTGTACCGTTGCCAATTTCATGTATTTCTCGTTTCTTCTTTTTTCCCCCCTTTAAATAAACGACGAAGGCTTAGCAGCGCCAAATAGCTGCTCAAATATGCAGCTCTCTCGATGAAGAGATTTGCCTTCTTTAAATCTTTAGATTCTGTGTACTGTTTTAGGAAAACGATTTAACCATATAATATGAACGTAATCTTCTTGTAGTATTACTTCCACCATCATAAATATGCGAGCAGAACAGAGTCTTTGAGTCGCCAAGAACGTAATCCTCAAACTCAAAAAGTTAGGGAAAACTTAATTCCCTGAGAGCTTCCAAATATAACGCCAATGTTGACTTTCAGTACTTCATGACAGCCTTTCACAGGTATGCAGATGGATGAACATAGTATATAAAAAAATATATATATTTTAAAACTTTGGAAGTAAAAAGAAATAACGCGATTTGTGCTGTTTCAAAACCCTTTTTTTTTGTACTAAAGGATAGGAATTATTCTCGTTAAGAAGCCGAAAAGCTTGAATTAATAATTCCAACGTTGCGTTCTCACTCGCCTATGGAAGTCGCAAAAAAGGAGGGCTTATGCGTTAAAAACAAAGAGATAAAACCCTGGAGGAGAAAAAAAAAATAAACTGCGACATAAGGCTAAGTTGTGGTTGCCTACGCAACATATGTTGTAGAAACGCCTTGAGACGTTCTTAAATGGAAATGCTGATTTTAGATTTTTTATGGGTTATGAAACATAACCTATCTGAATTTCTTTCGTTTTACTACCCATATTGACCATTTAAATACTCCTATGTAGTCAGCGTAAAAACGAAACGATACCACGTCAAGCATCGGACTTCATGATATTAATAACTTCTCTTAAAGCACGTGTACTTCCCGATACATTTAAAGCCTGGAACATTAGGTGAGAAACCTAATTGTACTCTTAGACGCATAAAAGAAAAACACTTCATTACGCTTGGTCATTAATAAGTGGCCACAAAAAGCGCATACCGTATTTGCAGTTCATAGATCACACCTTTTTAAAAGTCGCACATATATGTGTACGGCTGGCGCGACAAAGCTGCATTGAAATCCCTCATATCTGTATTACGATTGCAATATAATGCGC